GAGTCCGACTCGGAAACGTCAGTCTAGTCTGTGTGCTCGGAAGAGGGCGATAGGGGATATTTCAACTGGCTCCCCAGCGCCTTTAGGACGCTTCTTCTTCCCCTTCTTCTGGCTGGCCTGCCTCTTCTCCTGGCCGACCTTCCGCTTGGTCGAGCCAGTCGGGCTTGGAGGCAGTGCCGGCGCAGCCTTCGATGAGGCGGCCGCGCCTGGAGCTTCTGTAGCGCTTCCGCTCTGGTCGGCATCGGCAGTGCCCTCTTCGGTTTCTCCAGCGTTCCCGCTGCCCTCTCCAGCGTCTCCGCACTCCTCCTCCTCACTCTCGTGATATTGGAGGCTGTGCCTCTTCAGCTCGTGGTGCTCAGAGAGGTCGGCCCAGAGCTGGGCGATGGCGGCGCGTTCCACCTCGCTGCAGGGGATGCGGTGGGCCTCCGAGGGCACAGGCCGTACGGTATCCACACCGTCGCCATGGCGTGGCAGAAAAGGTGTGACGCCTCGATTGGGGGACCTGCTGTCCCGGTCCATGGGGCAGTTTGGGCGGTGCTCCTGCCACCCAAAACATTCGCAAACGCGGTACTTACCGTGCAGCTTGACGCGTTCCCGCCAGGTCTCTCGCTCTTCTTGGCGTCGACGGGTACGCATCCCTGCGGAGAACCGTGTGATTCTGCCCCCATCGCTCCGCTCGCACCGCTGGACAGCATGCCAATGGCGGATCTGATTCTCGGTCCAGCCTTGGCCGAGCCAGTAGTCCATGTCTTCACGAGAGATGTGGGCGCGGGGACCGTCCCAATCGGGCGGCGCCCCCACAGGGCCATGTGAACGGGCCCGCGGGACGCGATACGTCATATGGGCGTTGGAGCTGGTCATGCCCCACCCAATGTCCATGATGCCTTCGGACGTGATCGTAGTCGCAGGCCCGACTCTCTGCCTCAGCGTGTTTCCACGCAATGCGTCTGCTCCCGTCGGCATGATGGTTTCTGCCGAGGGCGTCTCCTCATGCGTTTCCGCAATATTGGGCAAGCCGGCATTCTGTAGCTCGGCTGACCTAGCAGGGGCCGTCTCAGCTTCAGAGATGTTCCCGTCGCACGCAGTAGCGTCTCCGCCAAAGTCGGAGAGCATGTCGTCGAACGCACGAGCCATCACCTTCGGTGGAGATGGACGTATGTAAGAAGTGTACTTGATGAGGGGGGATCGAATTCGGGCCAGTCGACGTACTCCACGTCCTCGATTGTTTCTTGAGCCGTCAAAATGGCCGCGTTGCCTCCCCTCCCTTTCCCTTTAAACCCTTTAGAGTCGCACTGGCTCTGAAAATGTGTATGGCTTCCGCGTCGATTGCACGGCATCCTTGTCCCGTTTCGGTCCATGGGGTTGAGTTTCTTGCCTTTCCCCTTTCCCGTGGAACGGCGTCTACCTCGACCCTTGGCTTGGAAGATTTCTTCAAACTCGGGTTCGGAAAGTGTGGCCATGAATGTGGCGAAGCCTTTTCCATGTAACCGCCGGTTGAGACGACCACCCTTTCCACGACCCGTCCCCCGTCGGTGAAATATTCTCCGTAATACCCTACGCACTCGCCGCACGGGCTTCTTGATGAACCGCCTCCAGCGGCGTTTTGCGTGCTGGTAGCCTAAGACGAATTATCCAGCGGTTTCCACATCACCGAGGCTGGGGGGCAGATCCGACATGTCCATCCGTGCGGTTCCGTCGGATGATAGCGTGTCGGTATCTGTCCCAGAGTCGGTGAGCGACTCTCCATTGGAGGTTTGGCCCCATGGGCAATCTGGCTCTCAGGAGCCGTGTACGACTGAGGGTTAGAGGGCTGTCCCCAGCCCTGCTGCGCTGCTGACGTCGGGTAGCTTCTGCCAGGTCCTGGGCCTTGAGGGGCCGTCGAGAGCAGCGCAGTGGCCCCCTCTGAATTGTTGGGGTCGTCAGCCCGTCTGTTACTGGGCGCGGCCGCGTCTCCGCCGGCGTGTGTCATGTATGGACTCGCGCTTCCGCGCCCCGTGTTTCCCAGCAACACGTTTCCGATGTTGCCAGGGGCACGTTCCGCCAGATGCCCCAAGCTGCGCATACGGTCCAAGAGTTCATCATACTGTTGTTGGGTCCGTGGCACCTGACCGTGGAGAGGCTGAAGCATCTGTGCAGCCCTGCCGGGGCCGAACCTTGGGGCTGTAACGAGCACCGTTGTGAGCAGCTGAAAGTTCGGGATGGCAAGGCCGACTGAGTCAGGCCTCAAGTTGGGCCATCTCTGCGAAGGCGAAAACCCACCCCCACCCCCAGTCCCGACGCCCATCCCCGAGCCTGCGATTCGAGGGGTCGGGACTGGGGGTGGGGGTGGGTTTTCTTCATTCCTGGACCCCGAAAAACCACCCCCGCCCCCAGTCCCGACCCCCTGGATCGCGGGTTCGGACATGAGGTGGGGACTGGGGGTGGCGGTGGGTTTTCGCCTTCTCAATCTCGAACATGGCGAGGATAGAATCCGTTCTCTCGCCTGGCTCGGGCCTGAAGTCCATGAGCGCCGTCCCTGTTGTGAGCTGTCGCTCATCTTCAAGGTTCTCGGATTTAGCACCCAAGAGAAACATTATGTGCGTGACGGGGTCCGTGAGGACCCTTGTAGCGCCGCGCCGTAGTTAATGATCTGGGGAGGGATTCGCATCGCAATGGTGCGTACCACCCCCCCCAGACCACGCTGCAGGCATGCAGCTTGTTGTTGTGGAGTCATGCTGGCGCCCTTGACATTCAGCCACGCATGTACTTCACGAGTAAACTCGAGGAACGATGTGTTTCTTGAGGGGTCCCGGTATGGGCCCCTTGTCGTATGATCGCCTCCATCGTTGTGGTTACCACATTGCATGTATCCTATAGCACACCCGATGACCAACCAAATGATGCTGAAAATGGCATGCTTTGAATAGGAATTGCATGTGAGGTCTTTGACATCGTTGTTGGTGGTCTTCGGTGTGTCCATCGCCGTCAGGCGGCGGATTGGCTGTGGAGGCGTGTCCCCCTGTTGGTTTAGGAGTATGGGGTTAGCGCCTCTGCGTAGTGGAAGTTGGTACATTAACTTGTTTCCAAGTTCGTCGTAAGTTGGGATACAATGGCGTAAAGCCGGGGCGTATACGCTTTCGGAGTGGTCCGACGGATGTCACCCATAGTGGATACAGCGTGTCCGCTTAGGGCGTTTCCGCCTGCTTGCCAGTAGTCACGCTCTGACGTCGCCGTGGTGTTGGCGGCATACCAAGCCGCGGCGTGGATAAGTATTTCGATAGACAGAGCTGACCGCAACTTAGTGGGGCCGGCTCCGCAACCAAGTAAATAGCAATATTAGGTCCATGTGGTAAGAGGTTTGGGATATGGTGTAAGATGGTGCATCTTCCAGGGGCGTGATCAAGTCCCTTTTCTGATGCCTAATGCGATGGTGAACTGCCGAATCCTCAGGCAGTCCAAGCAACTAGGGCGCCGGCGTCTTGAGCCAGACGCCGACGCCACGCTCGCTATGTTCGCTATACACATGCACCTTTGAGCCCCTATTTCAGAGTGACCCCCCGAGGACCCCCCCCCGGCGGGGAAGTGACCCAAGGGAAGGTGACGTTGTTCGATTTTCCGTTTGGTTGGATCGCTTGAGGAGGAGGGCCAGGGAAGGGGGGGGGCGGCGACGCGGCGACGACGATTCAAACGGAAAGCGTCTCACACACGCCGACAGGGTTGGCGGATTTTCTTGCCGCACTTGCTCCACGCCTTCGGTGTGAGGAATGATCGGGCATTTGGAGGTGTGCCGTGTATATTCGCGGTCGTCGTTCGGTCGAACGCCCACCTCCAGGTACCGACACTCTCGACTCTAGGCTTCATGCTGCCCGGCAGAATGTGCTGGAGCTGTGCATGGTTGATTGCGATTGCTCTGACGGGTCTGTACTTCGCATTTGCACGCGCTGCAAGTGCCATTCCAGCCGCGCCTCGGGTTACGCACTCAGCACGACATGCCAGCCCCCGCCATCTCGAGCTGCCCATGAGGGGCGCGAGGCATTTACAGTAGCAAAGGTCGGCCCCCCCCACGACCGATGCAGCGAGCATTTGTGAGGGCTGATGCCGAGATTCTCATGCAGTTCTATGACACGTGTTTTGTCTCCTACCTTCTTGGTCTGCTAATCTTTTCCTAAGTTGTAGCAGGCTGCTGGGCACCGCCCTTAGGAGGAGTTGGGCACCCCCGGACGTGTTGGTAGGGCGGGCCGGGCGTTTCGCATGATACGTCCTCACCATTGTTAATCTAGAAATTGTGCAACAGTTCACAGGATTGAGGGCAATCTATTTTCAAAATTAGGCTCTCGCCTTGGCACCGCGTACATTCGTTTTCAAAGTTTGCGGCAGTTTTAAGGATGGAGGGCCGTCCTTTTTCAACATGCGACTCTCGCCTTCGCGCCGCGCACATTCGTTTGTAAATTTGCAGTAAGTACAAGGGTGAAGGGCGACTGGTTTTCAAACTGTGGCTCTTGCCTCAGCGCCGCGCACATTCGTGGTCAACGTTTGCAGCAGCTTCAAGGATGGAGGGCGGTTCCTTTTCAACATGGGGCTCTCGTCTGCGCTCCGCGCACATCCGTGTCAAATACACAAGTTTCAAGGGTTCTCGTATGGTTGAAATCCCCGGAATGGTGTTCGGGCACATTTTAGGATTGCAGGACGCAACCGCCACGTTGCTTCGCGGTGTTGAAGTCCTAGAAACGGTGTTCAGGCACGATGCAGGATGGTCAGATCGGAATAGTCACGCTTGTTCGCGGCCTTGAAGTCTCAGGAATGGCGTTTTGGCACGGCTGGGGGTTCTCAGACGGTTGTCGTCTCCTCTTCCTCTTCTTCTTTTTCTTCTTCTTCTTCTTCGCTCCTCCTGTCCTTCTTCTCTCGCGCGCGCGGAGCGGATTGGAGGAGAAGAAGGAGGAGGGGGAAGAAAATCAAAACGGGGAAGACGCGGAGAACGACGTCGATGACGACGAGCGGCGACGACGAATGGTGAGAGCGAG